AAATTTTGCTCAAAATTTTGAAAATTTTTTCTAATTTAGAAAATTTTAAAAAATTTAATGGATTTTAAAAATGATGAATAATCATATATATATTACTTTTATAAATAAATTAATATCATACATCAAATTAATATTAGACAATAAGAGGATAAACTTAATTTATAAATTTTAAAATATTTTTTTAGCGATTGTGGATTTAAATCCAATAAACTTTTATTGTTTCTTACTTAATGTGTTAGATAAATTAATGGCAATATTTTAAAAAATAATCCTATTGTAATACATATAAATTTGAATTCTAGACTGATGATAAAAATAGTAAAAAAGCAACAATAAAAAGGTAAATACTTCCTAACAACTGTATATTATAATAAGAGTTTATAATCTCTTTAAAAATTATTAAGATTTTGATTAAAATTGTGACTCACCAATAGATTATGTTTTAAGTAATTCAAAAATAATTATTAGATTTCGTAAGTTTCAGGAAGATCAATATCTCGAGATGTATCAAGTTTTACAGAATAATTTAGTGTTTTCTTTACTCATAAATTAAAATGAATTCAATTTAAAGAAATCTAATACTTGTTTATTTTTTTATAAACGTTGTATCACAAATTTATGATCATACATTGATGAAAACTTATGAGTTTCCTACTAGATATTTAATATTGACTAAACCAATTTTTTGAAATATTATTTTTAACAATTTTTCTTTTCAAAACTCTACAACATAATTTAGCTATTTAAGAAGATCTTATAAGTTCTTTTGCATATTGGTCTTTTTGAAGGATCTACATTAAGGAAAGATTAGATTAAATTTACTTATTCTGAAGTGTATTTTCTTGTATCAGATAAAGTTAAATCCATCTAATCTTAAATTAATATTTCCTATTTTTATTTTCGTTGTTGTCTATTATTAAGTACGTATTCAAATTATTCACCATCAAAAGCCCTTTTTAATGTAATCTAAGTACTATTTTCTGAAGGTTATGTATAATCTTATCCTTAACTAATTTCTGGTGATCAATATATTGGACTACCTGATATAGTTTAAGCCATTTTCTTATGTTAGAGTCTAATAATTAATTATTAAATTACTTTTGCTTTTCAAAATCTGCTATTTTTAATTATCCATCATTCTTAATTAAAATATAAGAACTCTTCAAATCCCTATGTATCATATATATAAACTCATCAAATAAGTAATTAGAAAATTATTATTCAACTTTTTTAAGTGCACCCTCTCTCTATTCTTTCCTTCTAGTCATCTATATTAAATAATATCTTATAAATCTCCTTCTATGATTTATTTAATTCATTTCTACATTAACAATAATCCATAATAATTATTGAATTTTTATTTCTAAAGCATTCATAAACATAAAAGCACTTAAAGAATTAAATAAATTTAAATGATGTATCGCTTACTCTGGATATTTGCGATAAAAGAGTTTCTGCTAAATTTTATACTGGAGGTAAAGTAGACCAAAAAATCCACCTCCATGAACTTTCATTGATAATAAAAATATTATTAATGAAAATTCTTTTAAATTTTATCTAATATCTTAATTGGGTACTCCAACTCTTTATAAAGTACTTAATTCAGATGAATAAGGTATTTATATAATAATTATTGAATAATCCATAAAATAATGACTCTTTAATTAGGCTAGTTATTAATAATTTTACAGGATCAATAAAAATACCAGCAACTATTCGTTATGCACTGTCCTCTATAATTTTATTAGAAATAATTATGATGATAAGGATAAAATTAAATTTTTGCCATAAATAGACTTAATTCATTAAAAAGTTCTATTTTATTTTACCATTAATAATAAAATTATAAATTTATAATATTAATTGTTATTATGATAAGACCATTATCTGAATATGATTAATTTTATAAAGAAATAAAAATAATACGGAGAAGTCAATTTGGTAGTAAAATAATTATTAATCTTATAGGAATTGTTTATTTGAACTAATAAAAGTCAACTTGAAAAGAATTTGCAGCAAAAAAATATTAAAGGAGACTAGCCAGATTCCCAGCTAATTCTATTTCGATAACATAAAACAATACCTTCAGATTTTGGTTATAATATGAATTAGTGTATGTTTAAAATATTTCATGAGAAGCAAATCTATTAATGAAAATTTAGCAATAAAACTGTGGTTTCTTCTGTACCAGAATTTAGAAATACTAATATAATTTTCATCGTCTAAGGAAGTAAAAACTAATGTTGATCAGGTATTTTTTTGCAGGAATTTATAATATTATGAAATGTGGAGCTGTAAAGTTCAATTAAAAGATTAAATAAATATAATCAGAACCTTTACTTCTTTTAGGGTTTTTCTATTTAATATTTCATAAACTATCTCTGCTATCAATTTTTTTTATTGTTCTAAAAATTACTTTTTATACTATGTCAATATATTATCCATTCATTGATCTGATATACTCAATAAAATACTTACATATTAAGAAAGAAAATTGTTATAACTTTCCTTCTATGTATTAATAAGTTATTATGGAGTATTTAACTAATTTCCTGTATAAAATTTGGTATAGTTTTAATATACATTAAATAGTATCAGAGAGAAAAAGTGTTAAGGGAAAAGAAAATTTAATTATATAATAAATGTATAAGTTAATTACCATTGAATAATTTTGAATTAGACACGTAATTATGGATATAAAAGGAGAAACATGTTTGAATCAAACGATTAATTGAATATAAATAATCTTATTTTTGTCAAATTATTTATTAGATAAATTATGATAGTAAAGTAAAACTCTAAAAGTTTTTATAACTTAAGATATTTAAAAAGAAACAGCTAATTAAATCTTAAAGGAGGGGTATAATTGTGTTATAATATAATTATTTTTAGTAAAATGAATAAACAGTACTTCAACACAAAAAAGAAGTTATTAAATTAATTATGTCTATTGAGGTTACTGTATTATCTTGCTGTTATTCAATAATTAAAAAAAAATCTTGTAATACTAGAAATGGACACAATATTAAATAAACTACATGATAAAGATTTAATAATTATATTAGAATTTATAGATTTTTCTGTAGAGTGTAANATAAGACCATTATCTGAATATGATTAATTTTATAAAGAAATAAAAATAATACGGAGAAGTCAATTTGGTAGTAAAATAATTATTAATCTTATAGGAATTGTTTATTTGAACTAATAAAAGTCAACTTGAAAAGAATTTGCAGCAAAAAAATATTAAAGGAGACTAGCCAGATTCCCAGCTAATTCTATTTCGATAACATAAAACAATACCTTCAGATTTTGGTTATAATATGAATTAGTGTATGTTTAAAATATTTCATGAGAAGCAAATCTATTAATGAAAATTTAGCAATAAAACTGTGGTTTCTTCTGTACCAGAATTTAGAAATACTAATATAATTTTCATCGTCTAAGGAAGTAAAAACTAATGTTGATCAGGTATTTTTTTGCAGGAATTTATAATATTATGAAATGTGGAGCTGTAAAGTTCAATTAAAAGATTAAATAAATATAATCAGAACCTTTACTTCTTTTAGGGTTTTTCTATTTAATATTTCATAAACTATCTCTGCTATCAATTTTTTTTATTGTTCTAAAAATTACTTTTTATACTATGTCAATATATTATCCATTCATTGATCTGATATACTCAATAAAATACTTACATATTAAGAAAGAAAATTGTTATAACTTTCCTTCTATGTATTAATAAGTTATTATGGAGTATTTAACTAATTTCCTGTATAAAATTTGGTATAGTTTTAATATACATTAAATAGTATCAGAGAGAAAAAGTGTTAAGGGAAAAGAAAATTTAATTATATAATAAATGTATAAGTTAATTACCATTGAATAATTTTGAATTAGACACGTAATTATGGATATAAAAGGAGAAACATGTTTGAATCAAACGATTAATTGAATATAAATAATCTTATTTTTGTCAAATTATTTATTAGATAAATTATGATAGTAAAGTAAAACTCTAAAAGTTTTTATAACTTAAGATATTTAAAAAGAAACAGCTAATTAAATCTTAAAGGAGGGGTATAATTGTGTTATAATATAATTATTTTTAGTAAAATGAATAAACAGTACTTCAACACAAAAAAGAAGTTATTAAATTAATTATGTCTATTGAGGTTACTGTATTATCTTGCTGTTATTCAATAATTAAAAAAAAATCTTGTAATACTAGAAATGGACACAATATTAAATAAACTACATGATAAAGATTTAATAATTATATTAGAATTTATAGATTTTTCTGTAGAGTGTAATATCGACAATGATGTATAAATAAATTTTAGACAAAGGATCAAATGCCCTCAATCAATTTTTAATATCAAAAGTTAGATGTTTGGAAATTTTGAATTCCTAAATTTTGTTAACTAGATCCCAATAGTTGAAAAGGAATTCAAGTAATCAGTAGATTTGATTTTCCTTAACAGATTCTTCCAATTCTACTTTCATTAAATATAATTACTAGAACACATGCCCTTTTGATTTACCTTAGAATTCAAACAAAAAATGATTGTTTTTGATAATTTAAAGGCTCATATTAAATTTTGTTAAACATGAGAACAATGCAATTTTATAGTATTGGGAATCCTCTCCACTTCACTGAAATAATTAAAAAATGAATACTCTCTAAAGTTTAAAAAACTATTTGGTAAAAGCAATGATAGTAAAAAACAATAGAGCGAATCAGGGATAGCTAAAAACTTTTTAAATCTCATCAAAAAGTAAAGCAACAGTCAATAAGTTTATCTCAAATCTTTTTAGAAACTCATACATTATTCCTTAAAAGTTTTAGTCATAACTCTAAGATGAGTATAATTGTGTTTAACATGAAATTATTAAACATATCTAAATACACGTCCTTTTCAAAATTTCTATCATGTATTTTTTTAACTCTTATCATTTTAGATTCAATAGATAGTCCTTAATTTATTAAGATATTTCAACCAGGAAGTTAATTACTTATATATTTGGATTTATTAGACTTATTATTAATATGATTTCTTTATGGTTGAATATATAACAGATCGACAATTTCATTTGGAGAAATAATTAAACCAGAAGTTAGATTATAAAATATTATTTATTAAGATATAATTAGTTTTATAATTTGGATTATTCTATAAAATAAACCAAAGGAGAGTTTAAATTAGAAATACTTTAAATAGTATAAATAATTGTTACAACAAAGAAAGTCATAATAAATTTTGATAAATTTTTTGAATCTCTATATTCTAAAGGAGAATTCTCAAACTTGATTGACCTATTTTCTTTAGTTATTACTATATTCTTTTTTGCTCATATAACAGCATGAGCTTGGTATTAAGTTGGAGAAAAAAGTGACAAGCTTTTAGATAAATCTTGGTTAAAGAGATATGAAATTGAGAATGAAAGTATTATGATGAAATATAACTATTCAATTTATTGGGCTACTACAACAATCGTAATAGTTGGATATGGAGACTTAACTCCTTAAAATTAGATAGAATAATATTTACAATAATAATGATGTTTCTATCAAGATGTGAATATATTAATTCAATTCTAAAGGTATCATTTTATAGAATATTGAGGATGCAAAGTACCAATCTAAAAAAATGATTTTGATAATTAATGATTATAAGGATAAAAATAATGCTGAAATGTAATTGTAATTAAAAGCAAGAAACTTTATAAAACATCATATATTTTAAAATGAAAATTATAAAAACCAAGAAGATAGGAGAAATCAAATCACAAAATCTATATAATTAAAAATTCTCATTTAGATAACCTTTCTTAAAGATTTATTTTCATCTTAAGCAGTGCCATTTCTTACTTTCTTGAAACTTTACATTTGGCTTCTAATGATATAGTATTTTCTTAAAATGAATCAAATGATTCTAGTTTGTAATTTAATTGTAGCCTTATATGAAGAGAAATCTAACTAAACTTGAAAAATTTTAATAGAGATGAGAAATTTGGAGAGTACTCATTTTTCACAGGTTTTTATCCAAAGCATTCAGCCAAATGTGTAAGCTATACAATCCTTTATAAAAGTGAGAGAGTGAAATTCTTATAAATCAATCAATATTATGACAAAGATTTTCAAAGGTTTCATAATATTAAAGATTAAATATTGTTGAATTCAGATTATTCAAAATGCATTTCATGTTGTTAAAATTGTAGATTATTTACACATGAAATCATTGATTGTCCATTATTATAATACTAATCAAATTTAAAATAAAGAATTAAGGTTGCTGCCTTAAAGCGAATGAAAACATAAGAATGTAACATAATAGAGATTTACAAAAGACTAATTGTAGAAAACTTATCAAAAATATAATGTTATCTATAAAAGCATTCTAAGATGAAAATGAGTCAAAAAAGTCTAAATATCAAATTATCAATTGGGAAATCTTTATAAAACCACTTTTGAAGAGATAAGTAAACTTTTGAAGAACCTAAATCTAAGATTATAATTAATGATTAAGATCGTGTTTCACAAATTAATTTTCTTTAGCAAAATTAGTCCTAATAGAAAGATATTAAACACAATTTAGACCTTCCATCATAGCTTAAATACCAAGAAAAAAAATGACACTAATGTAGCAAGAATTTAAATCATAAAACTAATTGTTAATTTTTTTTAATTCTTCTTCATTAAATAAACTTTAATCTGAACTACTATTAACCTCATTTCATCCAAACAAGTTTACAACTTGATTAGTTGAAAATTTACAAAGAGTATAAGAGTATATGCCACAGAATAATAATTCAGCGATTATAATTTAGATGGAAAAAACTATTAAAAGGAAATACAGAAGAAATAAAAGTGAAATTTTAAAGTGTTTATTTGGTATAAATGAAATCTAACATCTCCTTAAAACTTCTAAAGATATTTTTGAAGCCAAATAATTTGTTCATTTATTAATTATTACTTTGTCTAACTTTATCTGATAATTGTTGTAATGTAAAATATTTTTGAGATTTGCTTAAAGATGATGTTAAAAGTAATTGGATAATTTAATAATGTTTTAAAATTTAGGTATATTTATGCATATATATTTTTGCTTGGTTTAAATGGGGTAGAAAGTAATCGAATTTATTTGAATAAAATCAAAATTATTATTTGATTTTTTATTTGGTTTGGTATAATTCGTAATTAATTTTAGAAGATAAAAGAATTATATGTATAATCGAGGATTTTTTTAATAATAAGTAAAATTTGATTTAATTTAATTATAAATTTTATATTATTATTATTGAATTTCTAAGAAATTGACAAATGGGAGAGATGGATAATTGATAGATAGAATTAGTACAAATTAAGAATAATTTTAGGTAGTTGTAAAGGCATAATCATTATTTGCTTCATTAGCTTTAACCTGATGTTATTTGGGAGATTGTTTATGGGAGTACAATTTAATTATAGAAAACAAGAAATCATCAAAATTTAATATTCAATTTAATAATTAAATTAGAATTAACTTTATTAAAGTGAAAATTTGATTATCTCATAATATTTAATCATTACAGCTTGTTTTAAAGGTCATCAATTATCAACAGTATATAATATTTGATTATAATAGGCTACATTGAATTCTTATTTCTCACCAATGATTTATGATTATACAGGAAGTATTACAAATCCATTATTCACAAGTGTATTTGCTTGCATCTTTTCATTAATATGTGTAATTTTACTTTTGCTTTTTAAATATTTAAACATTTTTCAAATTATTTAAGTTTCTCATTATCTATTTTATTTAAATTTTAAAAAACAATCCACAAAGTTTAGACAATCTACTGTAAATCAAGAGAATTAATATTATAATAAGAAATATAAGAAAAATCTACTGTCTCTAGTATTGACGAATCACATGAAACTTTAAATGATAATTAATAAACCACATAAAATAGTTTTACCTTCATAAAGAGCTAGGTTGTAAGAAATTAGAGAATTTCCAGTCTTATATTGGTCTTTAACTGCAATTTGTACGCTATGTCTTGGAATATATATAACCTTTATGGATGATGCTAGCGATTATTATTATAAGAAGAAATTTTAATTTAAAGCTATTGAAGCTGGAAAATTTATAACGATTCCATATATTTTTAGTGCTTTATATATGTCTATTTATTGGTTAGTATATTGATAAGGTTGATTATCGAAGATTTTTCTTAATGATTACATCCTTTCTATTTATAATTGCTTAAATATTATCGGGATCTGTTCATGTTACCAGTAATGAAAAATGGATTGCTGCTATACAATTAATGATTTAAGGTTCAGCATTTATTTTAAAATAGAAGTTCAAATTTCTTTTAATATAATTAATTTTATAGTAATTATTATAAAGAGCAAGAATAGATCCTCAAAAGTTGATAAAAAATAGAAGAGTTCAGGACGAAAAATAACAAAGCCAAATTTGATCGTAGTTTTAAAGCCCTTACTTTTGAAAACAGAATTATCTAAGGATGAGAAGATGTATCAAGATTATTCGGATGGAAAAAGATACCTGATAGAGTTTTAATAATCCTAAAAACATTAAAATTGGTAATATAAAATTAATTTAAAGTCTGCAATGAAGCTAGAGAGGAAGTATGAATCTCTACATTTGAAACACAAAAAAAGAGAGATTAGGGTCAGATCATAATTTAGTTATAAAAATGGTAAATCTAATAGAAATAGAAAAGATCATAAATGATAAAGAATTGTAGAGTCTCTTTAATTATTTGAAAATTTATTATTTGATTTAGCTTTGATTGTTTTTCTGTAAAAGAAGAACTTTAAAAATGCAAGGATTGAAAAAGCAGTTCAAGAAAAATTAATGAACTATATATACTGTTAATTATTCTAAAGGCTACTAACAAATTAAGAGTTCATGAAGAATACTTCTGAAATTTTAAGGATAATCAGCTTTTTTAAGCCTTTAAAGCATTTTAAATTCAGTTTGTATTTTTAAAGAACTTTATGTGAATATTATTCCATCTATAAAATTAAACAACAAAATGTTTTCCTCTAATTGAATTTTCTTATAAATTATTTATTAAATATAAAATTTTTAGATTTAATCCTCTCTCAAATATTAAGCAATCTATATCTGGCATCTGAAAATCAAAATATTAAGTAATTGGCTCAAATTCTTTATATAAGCGACTTTATTTTTTTTGAGAAAATGATAAATTTAAAAAAAATTACTATTCAAAACCTAAAAGTTGATTATAGATAATATTTTGTTAATTAATTGTTTTATATAGGAAAGATAAATTCTTTTTGTACTTTTAATAAATTAAAATTCTCCTCCAATTATGTGGAAAATCTGAAAGTAAAAGTTAAATATTGATAAATTTATAGAATAGAGAAAGTGCAGATTAAACATGGAAAATATTTATTGGATTATTAAAAACAAAATTAAGATTATGAGTTATCCTAAAGATATATTAACAAAGTTAAATGAAATTATCAAAATGGCAAATTGAACATTGAAATAATTTTTAGACAGAATAAGTAAAAATAAAAGAGTGTTAAATTATGTAATGACTAAAAACTAAAAGAAATTGATCAATAAAAGAATTATAAAAAGAGTAAACAGAAGCAGCGATACAAATATAATAAAAGATAAAAATAAAGTATATTTTAATAATATAAGCATTAAAATCAAAATAAAAAAACAATTTGAAAAGATTTTTCAACATTTAAAGGGAAGAAATAAATTGTATATAATGGATTCTAAATATTAATTATGTATACTGCTGACATAGAAAACTTATCGAATAGGTAATTATGATTAAGAAATTTATGAATTTGTTATAATTAGTTTTTTCTTTTATGAAACTGTTTAGTTAATTTTTCAGGCAAGATATAAATGATTTCATTTAAAAAAAAAAATAATTTTGAAATCAAATAAATCTTGATAGAGATGATTTAATTTCTCCTTAATCTCATCATCTTCTTTAAAATTTCAGATATTGTATAAACATATAATAGGTTTATAATGATATTGCTAAAGTAAAATCTAAATGTTATAATATTAAAAAATCTTAGTTAGTAATATTAAATCAGGAAATTGAAAAGTTAAATAGGTGAATGTTAAAAAAATAATCAGTTCTAAAAGAAAATATTTAATCATTAAAAAAGATATGTGTTGCTTTATGAGTATCCTATTAACAAATTTTTTATAATTGCCCTCATAAACGAACTTTCCTCCTAAATTCAAAATATTTTTTTCTATTTTTTTTTTATTTTTATCGAAGTTCATCTTCATTCATCATTTGGCTTTCATTAGACTAATACTTTCAACATTCTACCTCAAATAACAAATTATATTATTATTAAACTCACTTGATAAATTGTTTTAATCTAAAGTTAAGTAATTAACCATTATAAAGAAAAATTCAAATTGCATTCTCATAACTTAGTGAAAAAATAAATGGACTACAAATGAAATCAGAGAATATTTGAATTAAATTATTAGCTGTATAATAAATAATAGAGTAACACTAACAATTAATGCTAACCAAAACCAGCTAAAGAATTTAAATTTTAAACTTCTTTTTGTATCACAATATTCTAAACTTTATAAAATTTTAATCTTTCAGTTGTAAGAACCATAAAGGTGTGCTCATCATAAGATGCATAAAGTAATTAGGTTTGATAAATTAAGAATATCACTCTCGGGTAATTAAATTAATTTACAGACTAATTGGAGTTTTAGTTTGTTAATTTTAAATATAAAATCACGCTCCAAATACCAAAACCCTATTATAGTTTGCTGGAACATTTTCTCATTTAAAAACCACATAATTTATAATGTGCTTAGCCACTAAAAATATTAATTTGTCTTTAAATTCTATATTCATTAAATAGAATAACCGCAATGAACCTAGACTGTTTTTAAAAATATTTCTTTTTCATTTTTGTGTCTTGGGAGAATAAGACTTTGTGTAAGGTAATTAAGATAATATAAAATTAAGAATTTTAAAAATAGATGCGAATTTAATACATCACAATAAGAAGAATCAAAGTGAGAAGAAGTCTTAAATCTATGAAACAAATAGTTATTCTAAATTTATTTAAAAAAAGTATTTTAAATTGATTATTGATTTATAATTAATGAAAATCTGATTAAGGATTAGATAATTCTATACAAACCTCTAAATGTCTTAAATGTGAGCTAAATTTTGTTAGAAGAATTTTATCTTTAAAAAGTAGATGTGTTAGGTAAAGGATTGGCATATGATTTAATCTTTTATTTATGAATAAAAAATTTTGGTAATTATGGAACTCTAGAAAAACCTTGGAAAAATTGAAAATTAGCAAGAATGTAAAATTATGCTGTTAATAGAGCCTACTCTTAATCGCTACCAAGGATTAATCTCAACCTATAATTAATACAAAGTTTATTTATAAATGGCACTAACAAAGTTGTTTGAAAAAATAAGCTATTATTACTATTAAATTGGATAAGAATAATTTGGGTTTGTGGAAGGTAAGAAACCTAATCACAATCTCTTAGATTAAGAATTGTTAAAAATTGCCATAAGGTTGGATGGAAGAAAGTGTTTTAAGAATTGCAATTTTTAGAAATTTTAAATATCATTGGAATTATTAGAGAGGATAGAGGTTACAATATTTATTGAATAAATTTAAATAACAATGTAATTTTATTTAGAATTAATTATGAAAATTTTCAAGCAATAAAATTATACTTTGGCATTTACTTTTATAACCACATATTTAATATAATTTAAACATGCTTGATATTCATTATAAATTGCAATATTTTATGTTTTTATAAAAAATAAATAAGAGAGTTAATTTCTTAGATATATAATCTCATAGTGATTTTTTAATAGTTAATGTCTAACCAATTTAGATAATAACTTAAAATAATTTTATTATGGATTTACTACAATAATCAACACCTCAAAGAATTTCTATGTTTGATTATAGAATATTTTGGTTTTTAGCTATTTAGATTATTGTTTTATTCTTTTTATTTCTTCAAAAACTCTTACTATTCCTTTATATTCCCATTTTTCTGATCATTTCTTTCCTTTGCTTTCTCCTTTTCTTATCTTTTTTCTTTATTTCTCTTATAGTTAGAGCTTATTTGTGTCAAAAATAATGCTTAAGGAAAAGTTAATTTCCAATAAAATTCATTCTTCAAATTAAATCAACTTCCAGAAAATTTTTTTGATAATCCCCTTTCAATAAGCAATAAACATGTAATTCAATAAAATAATAGCTAATGATATTTTTGAAATAAAAGTTTGTAGTAACCATCATTAATTTTATTTTCCTATTGGAATAGAGTATTTCATCAAGTTAATAGGTTCCTAAACTCTTTTATCAAGTCTATTTTAACCTTGTTATGATTTTTTCAGACTAGAATATTAAGAGCAATAATTCGTTCTTAATTATATTCTGGATTATTATTAGACTCCTTCTAATAGATCTATTTATCAATATTAATTATCTAATTTTCTTACAACAGTCAAAAAATAAACAACAAAAAAAACAATAAATGAAGAATAGAAAATGAAACTTAAATTTCATCTAAAACAAACTTAAAAAATTACATTAATGCTTAGCGATATAATATGGATTAAGTGTATTCAAGATTTTTTTGAATACATATCGTTGAGATGTTTCAAGGAAGAGAAGTGAAGTAATTTCTTTTTAATTTTGGTTGATTTTTATTAATTTAGTTTTATCTTTCTACCTATTCATTCTTCCAATGCTTTTTTTTCGTTTATATTTGTTAGCTGCAATTTAATAAGAATTTTTGCTTTTGTTAAAGTGGACTAAATAAAGAAAAGTATTTATTGAAAGTTAGAAAGGTTAATTCATACATTTATTATTTTTAATGTCTTTATTTAAAATACAATATTCTCTTCTATTTTGTTTTCTAATTTATGATTTATAATAATTCAAATATTTGCTATTTTCTATGGATATAAAATTTTATAATATATTATCTGTCTAAAATTTGATTTAAAAGCTTGTTTAATTTAATAAGTAAATTCCTTGTTCAATTCAATTTCCCTACAATACCTTATATAATTATTTGAGATTGTTTTGAAAGTTGAATTTTAACTAACATTATTATATCAAGTTGATAAAAACATCCTATAAAATCGTTAATCAAGAGAGATAAAGCATGAAGACTTGATATTATGATGGCAATTTTGATGTACAATAATTCATTATCTATAATAAACCTGCTGTAGGTTAGGTACAATTCGAATATCATTCAGCACCTATATATATAAATGAAACTATAAAGTTTTTTAAATTGTTTTTACCTTTTTCTTTCGAATAAATATAATAGTTAAGTATAATCAATAATATTTATTATTAAAGTTATCTAATTCTAATGAAATTAAGTTATGTTTTATATTTCAGGATATCTTATTAATTTTAATAATCTAATAATCTAAATTAAATATTAATTATGGCATTTTCAACTATCACACACTGATTATTCTAATTCAGACCATTTATTTAGCAATAACGTATTTTATATCATAATATTTTTAAAATGAAGCTTTTCCTAAGTAAAATGTAAAGTATGAATATAATTTAACTATTGTACACCTTAGCTGAGTTGATCTTTATTTATTATTTATGAAATACTATTTTAATAGTCTAATTAAAGATGACTACATAATGTTAAAAGTTTATATTTAAAGGAGTAGATTCTTAAAGTGAAGATAAAATCTTTGCTTTAAAATTCTAAATTATATGATAAAATTTTGCTTGCCATACTATTAAAATTATTTACCAAATACATCTTATATTGGAACTATCTTTAACATCTGATTTTTATTTAATATTCCTATTTAAATTTGATTATTTTTAATTTGTTTTCAAGATCAATTGCTCCATGTTAGAATTGCCTCTATGATTTTTAATCAATTTCTTATTAATCTTTAATGATCTAATATAATAATTGTTGATTTCATTACATAACTTTCTTTAAAAAGTTGCTGATGATGTTTCGCTGAGCAAACTATGCTTTTGTAATTATTTTTTGATAAAATAAAAATTTATTTTTCTGTTATCATTTTTACTGTAGATTTAAATTAGTTTATAAATCTTAATAAACCTACTAAATTATTACTATATTTATTATAATAGCAAGAAAATTCGTTATATTTAATGGTGTAATTTAGAACAAATGATAATTAAATTATAAACGGGAGGGATTCAATTAAATTTTCCCTAACATAATAAAGAATATTATTTATATCAATTATTGATCTTGATAAAATTAAATAATTAAAAATTAATTAATCAAATAAATTAATGATTTTTTCTCATATTTGATCAAATTAAACTTTTATAACCTTGATATCTTATATAATATAAAAAATATGAGATCAGTTTTAAGAATTATAATAAGGGTTATAAATTAAGATAAAAATAAATATTAAATTATCAAAATTTGTGATAGGTTATTTTAATGATATTGTTTAAATAGAAAAAAAGAGATGTTTAGACAATATAAAATTGAATAGAAATTACAATTAAATAATAAAGAAATATTCAATATTTCTACTCTCAACCTAATG